CGGCCTTCGGTGCGTGAGGTCCCCGGTGACATCACATCCTTGATTCATCTTCTTTCCTTTCTTTGTAGTTTTAACTAGCTTTAAATGCCCTTAAAATGGAGCACTGATGGAGAAGGGGGGTGGCAGGGCTGTGCTCTAGTAGAGCCCGAGCGCGGTGGCCTATGGCGCCTAACGTTTGCTCCCGGGCGACTAGAAAATGTCAGATTTTTCATACAAATCATATGCTGGGCTAATCATATGCTACAGGTTCAGAGCACTGTGCTTCCTTCAATTTTCCTTAGAGCACAGCCTTGGAAAGAGGGGGGGTTAAAAAATGGGCGCAATGCCGACCTCAAGTTTATCAGTTTAATTGCTTTCATATCGACGTAAAATATTGTACTTTTTTTTTTACTGTACTTTTTCAAGCTGCACTTTTTGTTGCATGTTTTGGGCACTGTTTTTTTTTATAAATCAATGTTTCAGTTTCCAATTACTGATCATTCCAAAAAAGTACAGTTAACAGTCATTGGTTTAGCGAACACATACGTGTATCGTACTTTTTGCTGCACCAACTGACAAACAGGCAGTGCTCCATTAAGGCCAAGAATATTGTCATTTGTGTGTTTATTATAGGCACCTCTTTCTTTTGATGAACCAAAATACTGCCAAGTTAGTATGACCGGTGGAGCAGGACTGGAGTTTTCCTTTTGTAAAGTTAGGGAACTTGTCAGTCTTAAGCGAAGGAGAAACAAAGGATCATTATGCGTTGTATTTGTATTTTGTATTTTATTTTTACTCCATCCTATAATACATTAGTTGTACAATAATACAATAGTTGTACAATATCAATAATACATTAGTTGTACAATATCAATTGGTACAAAGTTGTTTAAACTGCGTGTACATAATAATGATAATAAAAGAAGAAAATTAGAATAAAGAAGGGCACATTATAGTAAAACTAATCATGGCCCTTTAACAAGATTGACTTTATTCTTTTGTAGTCTTGTTATTCATTAAAACACAAACACGCACGCACGCACACACACACGCACACAAGTCAATATTGAGCAAGATAATATTTTTTAAGTGCCTTTTTGAACAGCATTTTTGATGATTCATTGGCAATAGAAAGGAGAAGATCGTTCCAATAGTATTTTCCAATGACGGTAGGGCAAAACGTTCGAATATTAATTCTTGAGTGGGGAATGTGTAATTGCTGAGCAGATGCACTTCGTGTAAAATAATCATGTTGCTCAGATACAAGAAATAATGAAAAATTACACGGCTTAATATCAGTGACATAATCATATAAAAACAAACAATTGTAAATTTTAACAATATCACGAAATTTTAATAAACCTAGATGAACATAATGAGGAGTGATATGATCTCTATTATTCTGACTGCTTTATTTTGTAGACGTATGAGCTGTGATAATGGATTATCATAATTATTTCCCCACAATAAGCAACGATATATGAGATATGGGTAAACAAGAGAATAGTAAACACTAGTTAAACATTGATTTCCTAGATAACTTTTTATCTTTGTCATAATATTTACACGCTTACTGACTTTATCACAAACATAGTCGATATGGTCATGCCAGGATAGGTGGCTGTCAATATAGATACCTAAGTATTTAATTTTGGATACTTGCTCTAAGCACTGGCCAGCTATCGATAGCGGAGGTAATATTTTATAATCTACTTTCTGACAAGGTTGAAAGATAAGATATTTAGTTTTTCTTAGATTTAAGGTTAATTTATTTGCACATAGCCAGTCATAAATATTAGGTAGGTCTTTATTTATCTTTAATAAGAGTTCATCTATATTTTTAGCTGAAGCTGTTAAAGAGGTATCGTCTGCAATAGTCTCATGGAGAAGAAATCAGAAGATTGAGTAAAGTCGTTTATATATATATATCAAGAATAACAACGGTCCTAAAATTGATCCTTCAGGTACACCAGAAGAAATTGGCATGGTGTCAGAAATGTTACCATTTACAAAAACTCTCTGCTTTCTTTTATTAACATACGATTTGAACCAGTCGATATGAGGTTTTTGAATGCCATAGAACGATAGCTTTGATAATAAAATCGAATGATTGACGGTATCGAATGCTTTACTCAAATGAGAAAAAAAATATTGATACAGCATAATCTAAATTTTTGATCTAGAAAATAGAAATTTCTTCAATGAGATCAACAAGACAGTCCACAAATCATTTACTGCCTGGCTTAAACCCAAATATTAAATTAGGATCTGATAATATTTTCAGACGAAAAATAAGATATAAGTTGATTATAAATACATTTTTTTCAAAAACTTTACTTAATACTGGAAGAACTGATATTGGTCTATAATTATCACACAATGAACGGATCCCTGTTTAAAGATAGGAATCACTTTAGCGATATTTTAGATTATCATCCATGGAAAAGTTATTTGCTTGATGGACAGATTAATTATATACGTTATAGGACGAAAAATTTGAAATGCTTATTCATTTATCTCGAGACCTAAAAAATTTTGATTTTTTTATCTACACCAAATTTTTTTTTTTACCATCAAGATTATTCAAGAATTTTTAGAAATTTTGTTTTATTTCATGCATTAATGTAAAACGAAATTTAGATCCAGTCGATTTTAAAAAAGAGCCAAAATAACGATTTGATTTAGGCAGTTTAGAGGCAAGATCGACTAGGTATGTTGCAGAAAAATTTATTTATAACATTAGAAATAGAATTTGGTTGTAAATATTCTTTGACATCAATTTGGAGTTTGTCGATATGAGAAGAATGGCTTTTTGTTAAAAATAATGAAGTTTATATTATCCCAAATTTTCTTTGAGTTGGTAGTGGTCAGCAAAAATTTTATTATAATACAAGAAAATTGTTCAAAAACAGTATATTTCGTGTTGTTAACCATTTTTTGTACAGTTTGTCACGCACCTTATTGACTTTTTCAAACCTGGAGTTATCCACTACAATTTTTGGAAGAACTGACCAATCTACCTGACTTAATGCCGTCTTGAATAGCCCACTGTCAAATCTCTTAAAGTCTCTATATTCAAGCTTATCCGGAAACGGGGTTTGATCTAAATTGTACAAAATGGTAAAGACTGGAAGGTGATCAGCTATTTCCACGGCAATACTTCCACTCGTAGATGGTAACGAAACGTTGGTATAAATATGATCAATACAAGTCTGGTTAGATTCAGTAACCCGAGTTGCCTCGAATATTAAAGGACTGAAACCTTCAGAGGGCAGCAAATTTAGGTATTCTTTTGATATGTTACTTTGTTTAAGCGTGTTGATATTATCGTCACCCATAATCAAACATTTCTTCTTGGAGAGGTAAATTGTATGTAAATTTTCCTCAAGCTTATCTAAGAAATCACGGTTAGATAAACTGGGCGGTTTATATATAACACCAATAATTAAGTCTTGTGTTTCTATCCACACATTTTCTATAGTATCTATTCTCAAGTCATCCCGTAAATAAAAGTTGCGATCAGATTTTACATACAATCCTACTCCGCCACCAGACGAATAGGCACGATTATCATTTATAAAGACGTAACCTGGGATTGAAAAACAATCTAAATAACTATGAGGTGAGAGCCAAGTCTCCGAACATCCAATAAAATCAAAAGGAAAAGGAGTAGAATCTAATAAGTTGCATAAATCAGTAAAGTGTTGATTTAAATTTCGGATATTTAAATGTAACGCAGAAAAGTATGGCTTGACAACGGGGAATAATTCATTCAATTCATCAATAGTAAAAATCCCGTGGTCATTAAAAGATTGTAAATTCAAGTCAGGATCATTTTCGTTTCGAGCCATTTGCATAAAATTTATCACAAACGATACAAGCAATATTGAAATTCTAGCCACTTTTATATAGAACCCCATCAATATACAAATTACCGTGGTGAAAACGGGGCTTCTTTCCCTCCTCATACGCTTGTTTCATGATTTCTTTTAACTTCTTCTTTTTTTGTCTGTCCTCCCAGATTAAATCGTCAGATATTCTCACACGATTCTTTAGACTTCTCTTATTCTGGATTACCTGAAGACGTTCGGGTCAATAAAGAAACTTGGCAATGACAGGTCCCGGGTCATTTGAAGCGCCAGTCCTGGGTCCCCCAATCCTATGCGCGTTCTCTATCACGGGTTTGATGCCCAAATCATTAGATAGTGTGGTCTTCAATTTTTCAATACAGTTCTCATTATTGAGTCCTCGGGAATGTTGTAAAATCGTAGGTTGAAATCTCTTGAGTAACGTTCCAATGATAAAAGCCTTTCGTACGCTTGGTTGACATTAGTAGCGAGCTTGCTGACCTCATCCTCCAATTTGTCAACTCTGGTCATGGCCACGTGGACTTCGCCGTTTAGAGTATCGAACTTTAGGTTAAGCGACTCTGTAGTTCTTTCGAGTTTTTGTTCGAAAGTTTTCAAGTCTTCTTTGAATTTTGCTTGATTGTTCTTTATGGTTTCGACATCCTGTCGAATCGTTTCCAGGCAGTCCTTCACATACGATTGAAAACTATCGTCATTCACGTCTTGCTTCTTTCCTTTCTATGACATATTCAAAAATGACAACAGGAACTCTTACACAAAAAAAAACTAAAGTATTTAAAGACACAAAAAGGCAACGCAAACTACAGCTTCAGAAAACGCGGCCATCATCATCGCTGACCGCTGACTTTCTGGGAAACTGCCCTCCTACCCCTCCCCTAAGCCAACATTAACACTACCTACCACTTAGGGCAAAATGTTGGCTTAGGGGAGGGATGATGCGAAAAAAAAGTGCATAAAAATGACAGAACAGTGGACCTTCTTACAACAGGTATTGAAGCCAGGGAGACGGACAAACCGCTTACCTTGGCTGTTAGTTGCCTGTAACTTACCTCTCAGTCAACTAGCTCTCTTTTCATAACTCCCCCCCCCCCCCCCCTCTCCCTTATTGTGTTTGCCTTTGAGAGTGAGGTGAGTGAAGAAGTGGTTGGTTTCATGAACTTGCCTTTTCAGTATACTTTTTCCTATTAAATGTGCTAATATCATTCTACGTATATAAAGTTTTGAACTAACTTTTCTGGCCATTATTTTGAGCACTAGGCGATTTTTCAGAGCTAATTAGAGAATCGGAGTTGGTCTTGCGAATAGCTAGGGAAGTTAAGCAACTAACTCGACAACGGATATAACAACTGTTTTAAATTTTGTCGTTACCATTGTTGTGGTTTCTTAAGCTGGTTAAGAAAAAGAACAAAGCAATTTGTCTAATTTCTCTCACGCTCTATCTACAGACCCCATGCCGACGCTCCCAGCATCTTGAAGTGCTCATGCAATGAACCTCGCATGAGATTAGGAGAGCCTCTGGCATCAGATATTATTCTGTCAGCAACTGATAAACATGGCAACAAAACAGGCAAGGTGAGCAATTTCCTTTCAGAACATCTTCTCTTTTGCAAAACCAATCTTCAAGAATTGTTTCAGTAATTCGTTTTAGTTTTTAATCAACAAAATTATTTGATTGTTTTCTCGTTTTTTGTGTTGTTTTGTAGTTTCATGTACAGTTTTTCTGGTTCAGATTCGTCAGTTTTTTAGTGATTCACTCCTATTTTCTTCCGTGTATTCTCTAGTTTCCAGACCACTTATTGCCAGAGTTTTACGTTTCCTAAGGTGGACTGAACAAAAATTTCTTTTTTATTCTAATTTGTCCAAAAAAAAAAAACTGTAACATGTTTGCCAGGCTTGTTGGCCATCACCCTCGTATCATGTTTTGCTTGATTGTCTTCTCATTTGCTATTTTGTTATGCTTCCTCCTACAGTATTCACGTACAATCTTTTCTTTTTCATTAGTCGGTTTCAAACCATTTTTCTCCTTTTCTTTTTTCTCTGGATTCATTTAGCTTCCCAACCACGTCTTGCCAGAGTTTCACGTTTCATCAGACGGGCTGAAAGAACAAGAAGTCCAATTGGGATTCACGGCTGTAAGTACCGGCCGATTTGTTCTGATAACCGACTCTTTTTGTTATTCATTCTTGCAAGGAGTATTCTTACAGACTGCGTGCTCAAGCTGTTGAACGTACTGGAAGTCACCCAAAATGGTGGAAATGGTAATTTCGAGTTAAAGGGGCTTTGTCACAAAATTTTTCAAAATTTAAACGTTGAGAACTGCCACCAGATATAGTGAAACATAAAGGTAACCGCTCAAAACGTTGAAAGAAGGACTAAATATCAGATCAAGTACGAAAAGAGGCATGAATGGACAAACTTGAATGAGATAGAAACGGATTGTAATTGGAGTTTCTGAAAACTTGTTAGGCTAACAGTGTTGCAAAGTAACGTCTGATATGATGGTGGGGAAACAGTTTTGTTTTACTTTAGTAGTTTCCAAATTCATGAATTCTCGTCTCCACTTAAAGGGACAGGTTCACGGTTAAGCGCATGCTCATTAATTAAATTACTTTTGTCCAATTTATTATTAATTCTATCGGTTAATAATCCCACTCACGTGTATCTCAGCGATCTCGAAGTGCATTTCAAAGTAAAAGTGTATTTCAGAGTAACCTGAAGTAGGATGGAGGAGTACTAAAATCGCAGAAAAAATTAGTGGATTATGCCAACACTACCAACGTTTAATTTATTGTTGACCCGAAGGTTTTATTCCATGGTTGATGAATTTACAGCTATTTGCAAATAAGTTGATCAAGTAACTGCCAGGGGAGTGTGCAGGTTGGTTCTTTGACAACACTATGACATGATCATATTGCGTGCATAGACGATACAGCATGTCCCGGCCGAAAAACAGCATTTTGATAAATGAGCATGCGCTGAACCGTGAACCTGACCCTTTAATGCCATCCTGCCCCAATACTTCAAAAAGAAGGATAGCTTGAAACCAATTGCTTTATCCAGTAGAAAGAGATTTTTCCTTTGGGATAGGGTTATCCACCCTTTAAACAACTGGAGCCAGGCTTGTAATAAGAAAATCACAATAACTTATCTCTACAATTAGCAATTACTGAAAGAGGCTGAGTAGGAGGTGAAGAATCGAAGAGAATGTTATCCACCGAGGTTGAAGGCCTTGCATGTTCCAAATTTGGTCAACACCAGTTGGTTATGAAGAATTAGCCGGGGGCTTTGAACCAATCAGGAGTGTTGAAATATTTTGAGTGAATGATAACTGCATTTAAACACCTTCTGCAGGGTTTATTCTAGAGCGCAGCCTTGCGGGATTTCCGCAATTTGGAAAAAAATGCCGCATAAAATTTACGTTGCCGCGTCAAACGGGGCGCAAAAAAAAAAATAGAGCCAAGAATAAGTAAAATAAGTTTGAAATAAAGTATTCAAAAACATTACTGACAACAACACTGATTTGACGGCCGCTCTTTAAACTTATTTCGAACTTTTATAGCCTCCTTCTTTCTCATTTGCCTTTCTCCTCTTCGTTTGAGTCATTATTTCACCAGACAAACATCCGAGATCCTGCAGTAATTCGAGCCCAGGCTTTTTCAGTTGCCCAGAATGTTCCAAAATGGCGGCAACGCGTCAATAAAGGTTCGTTTTCCCATGGGACAGTCTGCACCAATAAGTTCAAATACCATTTGGGGACCCCCCTTTCTTGAAAAAAGGCCCCCTAAAATTACAGAAGGGGCCCATTTGACCCTCATTGGCCAATTTTTAGAATCAACCTTGCTTCTGGTAGCATGACTCTGCCAAGGAATTGTGTTTGACGTTTTAGTTGCTGTATTTGTATCCTTTGCTTACAACCCTGCTGTGTTGTGTTTTGTAGGATGGTAATATCGTAATCAAGAACATTCAATTTGAGGATGACCCCCTTGGACACAGAGAAGTCAGCATTAAATGGAAAGATCTTCTGTTATCAAAGACTAGAGGTAAGTATTTTAGTATTTTTACCATAGGTTGCGTGTTTCAATATTTCTTGTAATTTTGAGGTTAAACTTCATGTGTGCAGAATCTAATGCAAATGAGCGAGAACAATAAAATTTTCCTACTAGTAAAAACCAAGGTTACGGAATGTGGGCGACAACGATCGGAGGTCAAAACGCTTTTCCTCCAACGCTGTGCTTTGCGCAAGTTTCACCTGACAGATGGTAAAAACACGCGTGATCAGATTATGAGTGATAGAAGGGCCCAACGTGCGTAATGAGCATTCCATTCATTCTAGGTGGAAGTCCAAACGAATGCAGGCTACATACATGCGACGCATGCGTAATAACAACCTGTATATTAGGATTGCGTGCCCCTCGTATCGCCTGCAATTAGCGTTGATTTCGGCACATGTCAGTGAAGCTGGACGTTCAGGACGGGCCTAAGAGAAATCATCACTTGCCCTAATTATACATAGGCATGGATAACATGTCGAAGAGGTTAATAAACTAGTAAAATGATGTAATGAACAAGAAAGTTAAATTCTCCCAACTAATTTTATATGGAATTGTATAGTTCAGTCTGGAGTATTTATATGTGGATGTACTTGACTACTTATCTCCCTCCAATGTGGCGCGGGTTCATCTGAGGCGGACGGTCATGTTGTGTTTGTTGATGCTTCTCTCCCCCGTGGCTGATTCTTTACCGTGTTGCTCCTTCTCTCTCTTGCTTCAAGAGAGCAATGTAGTTTTCCTCTCGCCTCAAGAAACAACAATTGTAAATGGCAATTCGCCAGATGTGTACAAACATTCGATTTCGAAACCCAGATATTTTTAAATTTACGCGTACATTGTACAAACGTTTTAGATGTAGAGGAAGTGCATCCATGTAGTGGTTATTCGTCTACTAATCTTGATCGTATTAGACTACAAAACAGTCGGTTTTGCAGTTTCCGGTCTCAAAATCGGTTTAGCGTAACTAAAGAGTCTCGCGCAACGGTCTCTTCCCAGTCTCGCTATCCGTTTTCAGCCTCGCTCCAGACCTTTTGTTTGACTGCTTGCGCGTACTTGGATACGCAAAAATACGGACTGTTTTGCAGTCTATGATCGTATGGAAATTTGGAAATGTTGGTTTTCGCAGAGAGGGGAGATCGGAGTACCCGGGGAAAAACCTTTTTGAACAAGGAAAGAACCAATATCAAACTCAAGCCACTTATGGTCTCGCTTCTGGGACCCAGCAACATAAGTGTAACGCGGGTGGTCTCTTTCTTGCCTTCCACTTGCAGCTAACTTGGAAAAAAAGACCCAGACTTTTGCAAGCGCTAACAAAGCAAACCTATTTGTGAGAGCAAATTGTCATGAGTCAATTTGAGTTTTTGACCAGACCTACATTGTTGGTATATTAATGTTTGGTTTTTAGGTTATTGCAGGCCCACCAGCGAAGCTCAAGATTCTAAAGTTTGATCATTCTGAGGTAGGTATGAAAAACGCGTGTCTTGGACCCAGTGTTTCAGTGTTCCATCTTCAAATTTTGAACACTGAGTTCAATCTATCAATGAGCGAGTCCCAAACCCACTGAAAGAGCGTCCTATTGACGCTTGGAGCTTGGAGCCCCACCTGACATTGGATTAAGAGGCATAAGCACATTTCAACCATGACTTCTTTGACTCTTCAACAACATTTTCATGCACAACAATGTTGTGTATAAAGTCTTTTTCTCTCCTCAGTGAGTCAGGGCATTTTCCATTTGTCAGAACTGGCCGACCAGCACATTCCCGTTGTAATGATAATTTTACTTTTAATCAAAGCTATCCAGCCAGATCAGTCAAATTCTAAATAGTATGCACGAAGGAAATCGTTTTTCCTCAAAAGCTCTTGGAAAAAGCCTATTTCATTTTCAAAATGACAGGTCCAGCCATGGTCTGGCCGGCCAGTTCTGACTTTTGGAAAGCACACGAAGTTAGAGTGCTTGTTGAGATTGCCTCGACCTCTGACTTGCGGTAGTGGGAAACAACATTGCTTGGGAAGCTTCCTATGCGTTATCAAGCCTGCTCTTGTACAAACTCGAGTTCATAATGTGATTTGTTTTACTTGTTTTACAGCCACTTTCAGTGTTTAACGATACCAAGATGCCATTTCCCCTTACTGTTCAACTGTGCGACAAGCTTGAAAACCCTTCAGATGAGCCTAATGTTAAGGTGGTCCTTAATACGGACAGAGGAATTAAGGTGGGAAACTCAGTTTTTGTTATTCAATTAAAATTTGACCAAGCCTTTAATAGTTTGGTCTCCTTTTAATAAATGCCGTTTCAGTCGAACCTCCACTAATAGGGAGCTTAAGCAACTACGACGACGACGACGACGACGACCACGACCACGACCACGACAACATCAAAAAACAACAAGTTTAATGATCAAAACAACAGTTCTTCACGTGCATCATGCTTTCTAGTACATTTATTTGGCGTCCACTGCACGACTACGACGTGAAACCTCCTAATTTGACGTTTATGGAGGACGTGGACATAGGACGACGAATTTTCCTTCCTCTTTTGGAACCTGAATAAGCTCCTTAAGAATTCAACTCCAGGAAAAGTCGCCTGCATTTGACATATTGAGCGGCTCCAAATAGACCCGATTAAGTTTGAAAGAACGCAAATTCATTTCTTTGGCGACGTTTTCACTGCCCTTGTCGTCGTCGTTGCTTAAGGTCCCTAAGGAGCACCTCTCGACAACGGCCACTTTTTTTGTCCCAGGAGACAGTCCATAGATTGACTCTTGTCCAAACCTCTCATTAACGGCAACGGCCACTAAGGCGTGTTTCCAAGTTCCAAAATAAGGGAGTTTAAGCAACGACGGCGACGACGGCAATGAGAACGGCAAAAAGGCAATAGGTTAGATTAGCAAAACAACAACTTTGCACGTGCATCACGCTTTTTTGTACTTTTCTTAACCGTCGTTGCACGACTACAACGTGAAAGTGCCTAATTTCACGTTTTGTTGAGGACGGGAACACAAAACAACAACTTTCCTTTTCTTTTCCAAAAAATATTGCCCACATTTGACGAATTAAAGTGACGTTTTCATAGCCGTCGCCGTCGTTGTTGCTTAAGCTCCATGTTAGGGACGTTACGATCCGACAACGGCGACGCCAATGAAAACGTCGCTGAGAAATAGACTTCGCGTCCTTTAAAACTTTTTCGCCCTTATACCAAGTCACTCAGTCACTTGAAAGTAGGGAAGTTAAGTTAGAACTGAAGAGAGGGGACCACGTCCGAATTCAGAGAGAGAAAGCAAAATTTATCGCTCTGCCGTTCCCGTTCTCAAGTCAACTCAAAATTTGGTCATTTCACGTCGTAGTTGGGCAGGGACGGCAAAGAAATATACAAAAAGCGTGGTGCACGTGCAGAGTTGTTGTTTTGCTCATAAAAACTATTCTGTTTTAGACGTTCCCGTTGCCGTCGCCGTTGTAGTTTCGTAAGGTCTGTATTTCCTCTCGACAACGGCCAGTTTTTTTCAGCAACCGATGAAAGAGTCAAGAATGGTGATAAAGTTTGATCCGTATGGCGCGTTGGTGATTAATCGTGGCAATCGTATTTTGATTGTGATCCATTTATACTGCTGCAGTAAGCATAAATTGTCTACGATACTTGTAGCGAATGTTGCGAGCCTTGCTTGTTTTGGGACGTTAACATTTTAATTCAAAGCAATATTGAAGTTTTTTGTGTATTTTAACTCTATGTATTATATATGATTGGATTACCTTTATGGAATACAATAAAATAAGAATGAACTTAGTAGCGCAATAAACATGTTGTACTCCCTGTCTCCTAATAACGGCCACCTCTTCTGTCCCTAAGGTGGCGGCTGTCGAGAGGTTAGACTGTATTATGTAATCTGCGACCTTTTCTTGCACTTCAAAAGATCTGGTCGATGTTGCGACTGAACCGTTTTTACTGCCATATTTTTTTAGCTTTCTATCGATAGTGCGTCGAGCACCTGATTATGCAAATTTATATAAATCTATGCAAACTATGTTTCTAATTGTGGTATTTTTTATTATTATTTTTTTTTTCAGTTGACTCCAGCACCCGCTCAGCAGAAGACGGACAGCAAGGGTCAAGCAACGTTTGGTCAACCTACTGTGAGCGCAACCAAGTAGGTGGAATATGAACATAAGTCTTCTTTGGCCCGTGTTCCTGCCTCTTACTTGATAGCTCTTACCTCAGCCCTTAATGAACGTTAGAGTCAAAGAGAAGCTTTCTTTACTTTGTACACCATTTCTTAGTTCTGCTACTCGGCAGTTTTAATTCCTTCTTAACGGCGCCTCTTATAGTGGGACCCCTAGAGTTGGTCCCTGCCTTTCCTTAGTCATTTTATTTGACTTCCTATAAGATAGAGACCTTCCTAAAACAGACACCTAGAGTTGGTCCCTGCCATTCTTTATTCATTTTTTTTTTACCCTCTTTAAAACGCACACCTCCCTAAAACGGACACCAAGCGTCGGTTTCTGCCATTCTTTAGTCGTTTTCTTTGACTCTCTAAAAGATGGACACCTCCCTAAAATTCTTAAAGTTTGTCCCCGTCGTTCTTCATTCATTTTCTTTGATTCTGTAGAAGATGGACACCTCCCTAAAACTAACCTGAGATCAGGCCTCTTTTCTTTTTTTTTTTTTTTTTTTTTTTTGCTTCTTTGGCTCGAGACGGAAAAAAAAATAACGCCTGATACATTTATTTAACAAGCAGTCAACCGCCCCCTAATTTACATAATCTAACGTTTGCTTGACCTGTCATGTTTTTAGCCAATAAGCGTTTACCAAACGGGAATCAAATTTTGGCGCGAATAATGTCTCTTTTGAAATCAGTTTTAGGGGAAAAAAATTTTTTGAATACGTCCGTGTTCAGATGGCGCTTCGTAAAAAAAAAAAAAAAATTAATGTGTTGTTTTTGTGATGAAATACTGCTAGCTGGAGCTGTCGTACGTTTGTGAATAGCTACAAATAATAAAGAATTTACTGGTTAAAGCTCGTTGACTTCGTTCTGTACTACGAAAGCAGTGGAAAAAAAATTAGGCTGAAGCACCATATTTCACGAACTGAAAGGTGTTGTGAAAGCGAAGATCGCTCAGAATAATTCGCAGCATGATTTCTGAAGGAGGAAATACAGTCAAACCAGGTCAAGATTCCATTCATGAATTGATTATTTGAAAAGTGAACCCGTTTGTCGCTTCTGTAACTTGTAGCCGGTATCAAATTGCATTCAAATGATCGGTGAAGTTTTGACTGCAACTGTTTTGGTATACGATGAGATGGTAAATATTTCAATGGATGAAACTTCTATTTAGGCATTCTTCAAATTCAAGAAAACTGAGCGGGCAGAAATTTCATAACGAACTCGCGTGTGTATTCACTGCTTATTACGCAAGCAAAAATGCAGACTGAAATAAACAACAACTAACGGATGGCGTCATTTTGGCCAATCGGAACAGCGCAAATCATCCGCATTGTTTCCTATCCAATCAGAAAAAAGTCCAGATTCTGGCATTTTTACATGTGATCCGACAAAGAAATGTATCATGCCCTCTTCCCGTGAGAGACATAAAGGGATAATAGGGAGAGGGCATGATCTCAGGCTACCCTAAAACGGACACCTAGAGTTGATCCCTGCAATTCTTTAGTCGTTTTCTTTGAATCTGTTTAAGACGGACACCTCCTTAAAATGGACATGCACCTAGAGTCGGTTGCTACCATTCTTCGTTCATTTCCTTTGACTCTATAAGACGAACACCCCCCTAAAAAGGACACTAAATGCCGGCATACACTTTGTGCTGATCAAAAAGATATCCGTCGACTTTAAGAGCCCCAGCCTTGGCATTTCTTAGGAACAACCTCTTCCTCGGTCATAATTTAAGTCTGTAAAATAACTCGCGGAAACGTGTGTTTGAAAATCAGTGAAATGTATGGAATAAGAATCAAAGCCCTGCTTGGAAGAACTGCATTGGATGCGCCTACGATAAGCGTGAGGTAAGTTCTTGAAGCAGGTTAACACACATTTCACAATCACTCACGGATTTGGTCGAGAGCTCTGATTTGTGAGAGTTTAGACCTCCGAAATGGCGTCAAAATGTTTAAAACTTTAGTGTAACTGCGAGTTGCACTCCAGTTGTTTCATTGCAGCGTATCAAAGATGTTCACGTTATCTCTGTGGTCTGTAAGAGTAAAGTCAATGGAAAATTGTTGTTTATTCGCCAAAATATTCAATATTTTGTATCAATAGAGATGTTGAACGTGGCATTTAAAGCAAAAGGAAACGGTAGAGATCAAATCGGCTATTGAATTCGCTTTTGCCATTTTCGGAGATAGCTAGTACATCGCTTAGGAGTGAATATGTTGCATACGTTAGCGCTAGCGTTGGAAGAAGTCGGACGCGTCAAAGCTACTTGCGATCGCTTTTCTCAAGTTGGTGCTTTTGATACTGTAATTTCCTGTGGTACCTACCCGCTTTGACTAGCTGTAGCTATTTGCGGGTAGTTACATCTGCACTGTCATATTCTAATGATAAAGTTGTTGTTGTTGTTGTTGTTATATGTTTTGCATTTCAGAGTGGAGCCTGACCCATCAAAGGCTGTAAATCTTAACGTCACGTTTGATTCTAATGCGCCGTGTGTCGTTGGAGAGTTGTTACCAAGTAAGTGAGACCATTAGATTGACAGTAGTCTGGTAGGACTGTTGCGCAGGCAAGTGTATCCCAAGCAAGCAAACGGGTTTCCAGTTTTGCCGTCAAAACTTGCGCTTTCCATAGGCTGGATTTCCGCCGCTATCTCGGGTCCGGTCGAGGTCGCAAGCTCATTAGGGAGCTTAAGCAACGACGACGGCGACGTCGACGAGAACGGCATAAAACAATAAGGTTTAGATCGGCAAAACAACAACCTTGCGCGTGCGTCAGCCCTTTAGAATTCAACTCCTGAAAAATTAGCCATCATTTGACAAATTAAATAGTTGGGTTAAGAGCAATGAAGTTTGAAACAGCGCGAATTCACTTTTTGGGAGACGTTTTCTCCGCCGTTGCCGTCGTCGTTGCTTAAGCTCCCTAGTTACCGAACAGCGACTGATAATCGAGTCTAGACTACGAGTAGTCCCCATTTTTCCTCAGGGATCGTAGAGCGAGCGAAACGCGAGCGCGCGTGAAAATCACCCCACGCGAGAGAGGCGAGACGGGGCTACTGACGGGTTAAGACTGCATTGCAGGTCAAATACTTTGTCTAGTGACTCTGCATTTTAACCATTTAATCCCCAAGAGTGACCAAGATCCATTTTGTCCTAACAATATCAACACATAATCAAGAGAAACGGTTATGAGAATTTATATAATGATCAACTAAGGGAAAATGCGTTGATTTTTTCTCCACTTTCAGCAACATCTGACTGATGTTAGCTATAGGGAATTCTCATCCAAAACGGAAAGTGATTTGCAAGGACTTGTTCGATTAGCACCCTCTGGGATTTCAGACCTACAGGGTGGCAATTCTCCCAACTAAGTCTTAAGGGAAATGTATGGAGATCAGTCTGGAGAATTTGTGGGTGGATATCGAGGTTTAATACAATTGGCTATGTCTTTCTAAGCATTGCGCTCAGCATTGTGTGACCAAATTCCAGGTGTTTGGAGATCTATAGGATTTTGCTTTAACCTGAATCTGAGTTCTACCATACAAATTCAACTTTAAAGCAGTTTGGCCACGTAAGGACATTGATATATTGAACACTTTTACCTGAAAATTTGATTGACTCATTCCTTGGGTGGGTGTTAGCATCAGAGGTTCAGGTTGGGGGATGTTTTGTCCCCCAAACAAACCTACTGTCCTGCGTTTCAGCTGTTTCAGCCCATGTCGTCGGAGAGGACGAGGCTGTAATGAAAGCAGCAAGTGCTAAGGACATAGTGTTGAAGATATGGCACTCTAAGGATGGTCCAGTATCAGACAAGCCGCCAGCCAGGGTATGTTATACTAGCCTGTTTTCTTTCACATCACATAGTAACTGGGTTTCACAATACATACACTGTAAGTGTCAATATTCTTAGGCACTAACTAGCCGAGAGCTATTTTCCAGGGCTGCCACCAAGATTTCAAGTTGACGTTATATGCAATCAGTAGGCGGGAAATTGAACTTCAAGGAAATCGTTATGTCCTAGTTTCCTTTTGTTTCCTATGAAAGAAGCCGGGCAGTGCCGGATCCAGACCTTGAGATAAGGGGGGACCCTGTCATCCAGACCCTTAGAAAAGAGGTGGGGGCGGTCTCCCAAAAATTTTTTTTCGACCCCTCGTGCCTCAGATTGGTCCAAACATAAGGGAAGGGGGTGTGTGGGCAGGCCCCTGGGTCCCTCCCCTGGATCCACCCCTGCTGGGAATCATGTTCCTAGTATCCGGAGGAAATCCCCAGCCCTTTCCTCTTAGTGACAGCATATCCACAGCAGAAGGGCTTGGTTACTATTCAGAAGTGGTAAAATGACTGGACTATTGTTGATAACTTAAACTGTTATCGTACTGAGGTCACAACGGTGTAGCACAATGCCGCTGTTAATTGAAACCACCAAGGCTTAACGTTTTACTTATATTTTAATTTTGTTAAGGCCACAACGTTGTACCCATCAAAGCGGAAGTTAACGGATAAAGATGGAGAATTCTATTTCAGGTAATAATAATAAGAAGAATACGAATAAATATGATAATATAATATGTATATTGCGCATATACAATGGAAATATTTTCATATGCGCATTACAAACGGTGAAATAAAAATAAGTCAGTTAAAAGCTATCTTAAAAAAGTACGTTTTGGGGGCTGTCTTAAAAGATGTAAGGCTCTGAATGTTTCTTATCTACTCCGGAAGACTGTTTCACAGTTTGGGAGCTGCCGACTGAAAGGCTCGATCGCCAATTCAGTTGGTAGACACAGTGCGTTGGCCGGTACCAACAAAGTCGCATTGTTGGACCCAAGGGTGCTTTCCATTTGTCAGAACTGACCGGCCAGACCATTCCCGTCGTAATGACAATTTCACTTTTAATCAAAAATATCCAGCTAGATATAGTTTGCACGAAGGAGATGGTTTTTCAGCAAAAACTCTTGGAAAAAGCTTATTGCTTTGTCAAAATGACTGGTCTGGCCATGGTCCAGCCGGTCGGTTCTGACTTTTGGAAAGCGCCCTAAGATTATTTATATCTTGACTGGGCAGCCACAGCAATAATATCAACTGAAGTATGGTTGATTGAGTAGTTTTCAAAGGAAGCAATGCAATTTTTTTTCGTGAATTCTCTTATAACCGCTGATATATTGTAAACTGCACTCACTAGGGACCTCAAAGTACCAGATATGTCAGGTGGCTATTGTATGGTAGTGCAGTTTGGATCTGCAGGAGCAGCCACACTCTCTAGTAAACCGGTGAGAGCATTGTTTGTTTTACGTGGAGTCTTCATTACTAGTTACTTCTTGCACAAACCCTTCTTCTATTAGTAATAACATTACTTTGAAGAGAACTTGAATTTTTATTTGTAAATTTCTATTTGTTGTCTGCAACGTTAGGAAGAGCTACCTTCAGCGAAACACACCGAATACCACCTTGTGGTCTTTTTGTTGTCTGCAACGTAAGGAAGAGCTAACTTGAGCACAACACACCAAATACCAATCTGGCATCAGCTTACGACAGTCGTTTCCGATTAGTACAGTAGCTCTTCCAGACCTCTATTTTGATTGGCCCTAATAATCAGTAGCTTCTTTTGTTTTAGAGCTAGGGGTATTGTTTGTGTTGAATCATCTGTTGTTTCGTTCTGCAATCACAGACCATGTCTGAAAAGCTACTGACCTTCTTCCCTTCCATTGCACCTTAAACCTGTTCACTTACGAAGAAGCACCTCCGTTTAGATTCATTTCATTTTTGTACAAGTTAATCAGTTTTATTACTTGTAAAAGAATATGTGGAGGAGAGTTGTGTTTAGAAATGCATACTACCCAGCGTTCGAAGAGTTCGTTGGCCTCGTCAGCTAAATACCTTCCCAATTCTTAATGATAGTGAGAGCCAACTATGTTCCTTAACATAGAGTTTCACTTACTTCCTCTTGCAGATCACATTCACAGCAAAGGCTGGTCTCCCTGTGAAGCTTGAACCGGAGACGATGCCTGCGACTCCTACTGTTTCCAACACTCAAAGGACCAACAGCCGAACCCTGGTGAAGACACTCAAGTTACAACTTAAGGTACTAATATTTACTGTTTTTGGTTGTGTTCCCTCCTCATTGTAATGCAAAATGGTCCCACATCTTCTGTTACCAGTTACCAGTTCTTTGCGACGTCGTGCGTATAATTGTAGGCCAGCGTTGGTAAGCATTAACTCTGTAAAGAAACTGGTTTGTGTAAACTTTGGGAAAAGAGTTGCAGAGTTGGTTGCCTACAAAGATTTCGTCCGTAGTTTACTAGTCATGATTTCAGCAGCACTGCTACTTTGAAGATGAGTAGCAAATCGCTGAAAATGAGCAAAAGAAAAGAAAAAAATGAACAACAAAAAGATGAGTCCATTGACGACGTCAGTGAAGCGTATCACGAAGGCGATGACGATTATGTCACCTAGAAGGACGTTTACAAAGTGATGAAAGTGCAAGAGTCGATGTCTCGTAATTTGTTTGAATCCATGTTGACCAGTGTTAACAATAGAAGTGATGGTGTGATCAAAGACCTGACAGAATTGAAATCAAGTATTCGTATCACCACAATCTTCTGTCTAGTAGCTTTCTCAACCTCTTTTTAAGTAATAGTCAGGTTCACCATTGTGAAACTCAACTAGCCTTTCAGCATAGACCTCATTTCTGTAGAACTAATATCAAGCAGTTCAGTATCCTTTATCGAGGACCAACAATCTGGAATTCGTTGCCAATTTCTCTAACCAGCTCTTCTTCCATATCTCCATATAAGTTTTTTGTTGGTTTGTTTGTTTGTTTGTTTGTTTATGTTTTGGATTTAACATAACGAACGTAGGGCATTTTTCTCTTTTCTGATCTGAAACCAACTAATGTTGCAGCTCTCTTTAGTTGCTGATCTCTAAACAACGTTAAAAAACCCTCAGCATGCATAATTAAAGGTCCATTTCAATATTCAAGATTGCTTGATACACATTTGTTGAAGAACAGCTCAAACATTTGTTGATCAGCAAAGTGGCCTTAGGCAGCCTTGAGACAAGATTGCTCACTCTGCTGTTTGTTTTAGGACAAATTTGATAACTTGACTGGTGAGAATCTGAAAGGAAAGGTGGTTGTCAAGGTAACAACACCATCAGAAGGCATTGACGAGATCCATGCTCTGACTGGAAATGTGTACTCCTTGGAGGTACCCCTGGTCAAGGGCGTGGCCACTGTACAGAACCTCCTTATTCAAGAGAACACTGCAGGCAAAGACGGACAGGAATACCTGCTGATTTTTCACACTCAGATTCCTCCTAATTCTTCGCCTCATCCTATTCCCGTGTTTACATTGGCATTCTTGTTTTACAATGGCAAGTACCCTTCGGTTTCATGTAGTGCTGACTTTCTTCTTCATGATTAAGGGCCTGTTTACATTGAGGCGGGGGACCCCAGGTAGGTGAGGTAACCTGCTTAGGTGGGGTAACCCGCCTGTCCATATAATCTCTCATTTTAATTTGATCACGTTTACATGATAAGTGGGGTGACCCGCCGCATGTTACCTCACCTATCTGGGATCTCCCACCTCCATGTAAACAGGCCTTAACTTAAAGGATATCCGATAATGTGCTTGTTCGTTGTGTGACTTTTTTTGTTTTAAAATAGCAAATACACTGCGGTTTTCTGTGGTGCTAATTTTCCCATCCCTTATAAATATTAACATAAAATAACAAGTGCCCGTTCTTTCTGCGCAGACTTGTCACTAAGATTTCAAGTTACCGGGTAAATACAACAAGTAGGCGGGAAATCAAACAGCTAGAAATTTCGTTTGGTTCTATTTTTCTTCTCTTTTCCAATGAAAGTAGCTGGGGGCCACATTCATAGCAGCTGGGGGAAATCCCCGGCCCCTGGCTCTTAGTGGAAGCCCAGCTGCGACCTGGTTTTGTTTACAGTGGCAGGTACACTTCGGTTTCCTGTAAAAAAAAAAACTATTAAATTCCTATTTCCCTCTTCTTGATTAACTTTAAAAAAACTTCTTTTTGTTTGTTCAACCTTTTGTTTTAGAATGGCAAGTACACTTCGGTTCTTATAAAGAAGTGTCTAATTTCCACTCATTGATTAACGTATCTGCTTATTCGTCGTTTGACCTCTCTAAATCACTTCCTTTTACTTGCTTTCCACCTTGTTAGGTATTTTGTTAACTAACACAACATATTTCATAAACAGTACTATATACTTTTTGCTTTTAGATGTGAGGAAACAGCAACAGATGGCTCAGCTGACAAAAGAAAGAGATCACTTATTTGAGACGATACGCACCTACCGGCTTCTTTTTTGAAACTACGCGACAACTCATTAACGAGATGCAAGGTTGGTGGCTTATTTTTGGTTCTTTGCAGTCGACCACATTAACATTCGCCCACAGAGGGAGTGAGACGCAATAATTTTGTCTTATCCTTAAAGTCTCGAGAGTAACTAACATCAATTTTCTCCTAACAATATCCATGCACAATCAAAAGAAAAGGTTATGAGAAATAATAAAATGATCATCAAAATGAAAATGCTTTGATTTTTATCAAATTCTCTCAACTAATTCTGTAAGGAAATATATGGAGATCTGTAGAGAGAATTCTTATGTGGATATTGGGACTTAAAAGATTACTCATTAAGTCAATGTTCCTCCATAAAAAGATTCAAAAGCTGACGCATTAAGTGCTAGCCCGTCATCAGAGCGAATTGAAACTTGATAACACCAGCTTTTTTTAAAGATTTGAACAACCAATTTTATAATTGAACCATAACCTTTATTTTTGTACTTTACAGTGTCAGTGCATGAAGCTTCTTTACAAGAACAGAAGCTGAGAGGAGAACTCAGAAAACAAAACATCTCTGCAAGCAGCTTAGCATCGGTAAGAAGTAATCCTGGTACAGGATCGAGCCACCCTAAGGGAGTAGTTAGAGTACCAAGCTCAAGTCAAGAGGTCGCTGTTTTCGGTTTAACCAGAGGTCCCCTCTTTTCCACAGAGGCCTAGCGGAGAGTAGAACACAGGGGAGAAAACGTACGTGGTGTATGCTGGGAAGGGGAAGAGAGGAAGCGAGGTTTCCGCCATTTTTCTTTCCTTCGTTCACACGACAGCACTTTCGAGTTATAAAAGAAGTTATGTTCTTGTCGTCGGAGCTTCTGTTAGGGAAATATGAGGTGCATATGTAGCCACACGGCACTGGCTGGTTTTGATTAAAGTTGGATCTGAGTTCAACTCCTTGGCCATGCCTGTTGGTGCCTCTGAAGCTTTTACGTTTACTTTCGTTTTCTTATTTAGACGAAGTGCTAGAAAGTTGTGGATGATGCCTCATTTTGTTACCGTGCATACGTCACACGTTTTGCATATTACCGGAAGGTCTCATTTTGCAAAAATCAATTCGCACCATAGATTAGTATTGTTAAATATCCGTTTCATTTGAATGGTCACATCATAGTTCTGGGAGTGAAAGAGTTAATCACTAGAGAGCTTTAGATTTGAGGAGGAGAACGAGTATGAGTATGAGATTTAACATAAAGTTTCAGAATCTAAGCCCTCTATTGTTCTTAGCCATCAGCTGTGACTACATTGATAGATGAAATGTCAAAAAAGAGAGATCAGATCGCTATTACTCCTCGCCGACAGTGTCTACTTCACCCTGGACCCCGTGGAGACTCTGGTATTCTGGGAAAGGTTTGTTCAGTTTACTTTTCGATGAGTTCACACTATGCTTTAGTCGGACAATTTTTTTTCCCTTTTTCTAAAGCCATAGCAAAGAGTGATTTATAATAACCGTTATGCATGTTTACGTCAGACGAGTATATTTCACCACCCAGCCTCGTTTTGAAGTTGAAAAGTTGCCAAGTGCATAAATGAATTCCCAGGGCAGAAAAGTTGAAAAGAATATTCACGCCCAAAGGGGGCAAACAGTTTTGTTTACAAACGAAAATTTGTTGAAAATGCAACTTCAAATATTCTCGACTCATTAATAATTCAAAGAAAATACAAAGGAAATTAATGTTTAATGGGTTTGAAAATGAAAACTTAGTTTTGCATTTATTTCTCCTTCAAAAACGAGGTTTGAGAAGAAATATCAAACATTGAAATTTCATCGACTGACGTCAAAAAATTGCGCGTGCACTCTCTTCTCGGTGTTTCATCTGGTGATGAAACACTCAGAACACTGCATCTCATGTTTGATATATTACGTGACAGCCCTGACCTCGGTAATGAAGACACTTGGCTCTACCTCGTCGGTATACTTTTGTTGCGTGTTAGCGCTAACGCTGTTCTCTGTTCCCCCTGCAGGTTGCTCATTTAGCTCAAGTGGTAGATGACGACGTTGCGCGAGTACTGTCGTGGCACATGGCATCCGATATGGACTGTGTCGTTACTCTCACGACAGAAAAGGTTCGTCCTTAGACTTTCAAAAAAGTCCTTTTTCCGATTTAATATGACGCGGGACGAAGGTCGACCTTTCGCGACTTCGTCGTACGCTTGGTCGCTTGCTAAGACGCTCGTGCTGTCGACTTCTAGCAAGTCTAGTTTGTTCCCTAAACCTCGTGTTTTGCCTGCTGTGCTTTTCGCTCATCATAAATTCTCTCCCCTTTTGGGTAGCTAGTATGTACGTAAGTTATGCTGTTCCGCTCTATCCTATTCTACTGGACCTGTCGTTTTGTGCTCTGTAGGGTGTATTTTTTATTGCTGACAAGCGTTTGCGAGGTAGCAATACTATTGTTTGTGTAGCGAAAAAATTCAATTTTGTAGTATTCTTTGTGTAGCGGCAAATTCAATTTGTGTCGAATGTAAGATCACCCGCAAACACACTTGGTCATGACTATCTTAGAGGTCTTCTTATATGACGTAGTATATCCGCACAGCGCTCGATTGAATGTTCAAGTTCCTGACAAACGGACAATCTTGCCTGTTTAAACTGTCGAATTCTTTTTCTTTTCCTCCGGTATTAATAAAATCAATCGAGTTAAAGGCTTCCGTGTTACCTCAGGAATGAACCGTAACTTAAGTATTTGCCTTACTGGTCGAAAGCACACTGATTTCATGAGCGAATGTTTTACATCAACGGGCAAAGTCAACGACTAATATTTTGGCACAAAACTGTAAATTCCTCTGCTGCTTATTTCCTGGTAATAATTATTACTGTCTCACTTCCATGACCTCCACACAAGTCCTTTTGTAGCTCTCTAAAATAACCAGTAACATTTATCTAGTTTTTTGTCACTTTTTGAATAACACGGGTGACTGTTTATTTTCAGGCAAAACAAGTGTATCGCGACTCTAATGGCCAGCAACAAGTGCTACCCTTGGATTCTATCTTCAGACGTAGTTTACCAGAATGGAATAGGTACAGACCAAATTAACCCAGTTATTATAGACGCTGTGTCTCTCAGGAGTTTTCAAACCCAAACCTGCTTAACAATTTTACACCATAAATCCTCCATTAAGACCCCCCCCCCCTCTCAAATGAGCCCCCTCTCACTAATAGGCCTCTCCTTTTCAGAGAAAGAAAGTTAATAAGCCCCCTTCTCTTTAAGCCTCCATCCCGTCCCCTCCGCTTATTATTCTTTATTATTTTAATGATAGACTGTATTAATCAGTCACGACAGTAAAACATGGTGTGGACTGATCCAGGACGGTTTATTTACCAACTAGAAGTTCGGAATTGTTATTGATTTTCGGCTGCATGACTCCAACGTCTTGTACTGGAACTTTTCCTCTTTGTATTCTAGTTCTTTATGGTGAACTGATACCATCGTTTCTTCTAAATTAGATAACCCCCCCTCTCTCTAACCCCTCCCCCACCTCAAATGGGCTTGAAATAAATAAGCCCCCCAAGGGGCTTTAATTGAGGATTTACGGTAAGTTGGTTTTTTTAACCCAAAGAAAATTCAGGGAGTGCTCAAGTAGTGCCGATCAAGTTTATAAAATTTCCTGCCCGGTTTTATGAGTTACTCTACTACATTAAAATGTACTATACTATTATCTGCAGGTTTAACCTGGCTTACACTCTCATTCATTCGCGTAGTCAGTTGTGATGTCATATAATGGTGATCTATCTTTTGAATCTGTAGGCGAATTCATATAGAACCCTCTATTTCGGTAGGACCCTATGCGTGATTTTTCTTTCCTGAATTTGTGAAAATTAGACTATTAACCCCCAGTGCATTAGAAAAAGTTAGCAATGCTTGCAGACATGTCAGCAGCGGCCTGTGAATATGCTAGTGAGCACGCTCAAGAATTTTCCAGTTGCCTCAGAGTTTTAAGCCTTTAGCGTAGCTTAGCAATGAGTAGCCATTAATACTGACTGTTAATTTTAGAGCTCTTCCACATATACGAGGTCAGGGCAGTTACAATCCGTCTGGTAACCCTGTGTACGCAAGAGATATGTTGATGTTTCCAACAGAGGCGGAAAATTGCAAGCTAGGTAATACGAATGTGTATGCAAGAGTACTTATTGTAGGGCCTGTGCGACAATAGACCATTAGATAATCATTAGCCTGCTCTATGTTCTCTAGTTTAAAAACAACTGTTGGGCCAACGCTCGAGAGGCGCCGGCGGAATCTCATGCGCGAGTGGCAAGCAGATGGCTCATTCGATAAGTTCTTGAATGGAGAACGTCTCTAAGGCCAAGGTAATTTGCTTGAAAGAAAGCAGTGCTGAGGGACGTTGAATAGAAATGAATTTTCTGTTTAGGAAGGTGAACGTTTCGCTTACCCGTTGTCAAAGAGATACCCATTGGTGGAGCTCCGTGATTAGTTGCAACAAGCTAGCGTAAACGGCAAGAATCAGTTACATGCTTCCCCCTCCCTTAAATTAGCCGGACGACAGTTTCTCCAAACAGGCAGCTAAACATTGGCTAGTATAGGGTACAAATACGTTAATCCCAGGAAACAGTCCCCCTTAATGCACAACATCCACTTCCCGTTTGTTGACATTTCCAGTGATTCCACGCTCAGAGGTAGAATTAACTTTGTCAAGATACATTGTTATGGGTTTAGGAACTACCACTCTTACGCTCCGTGAACATCTACCAATGCTTGTTGGGTATCAGAGGTCTTTTTATTTTCCTCGCCTGCGGCGGGGTGCTTCGATGTCGGTAACAGACCGAAGCCGCGAGTCACTTTCACCAGAAATTACACTAGAAACGTCTTTGCTGTCCGGGGTATACAAAGTTCTTCGTGACTGTCAAAAATTTTCCTCAAACTCAATAACAAATAAATGTATCGAGAAAACAGACAAATTCTATACCATGAATTGCGACACCTAAATCAAACACTCGAAAGAGTTTTTCATTTGGAATCCAAATAACCTTGACGTCACTATGCCTCATTTTTCAACTCACTTCTCGTTTTCTGCCCTAGGGGGTACTCCCTATAATGGCCTATACGGAGAGACTCCGCCCGAAAGGGGTACCTTTTTCAGACTTCAGGTATATGGAAGGGTTGGGATTTTACCAGTTGAATTATATGAAAGTGGTGGGATATCTGTCATTTGGGCCTGTGAAAGGGCTCAAAGGGCTGAGCAGATGAATTTCAGTGTTATGGCTTTATAAAGTTGGGAAAACGTTCTATTTTTGTGATTGATTCCTACTTAAAGGACAATGCATTTGCAGCAGCTAAAAAGGGGTACCTTTTTCGTGAAAAATGGTATATAAAAGGGTAAGGGGTTGGACCTCGGGGCGTAGCCTCCCGTGTAAAAAATTTGTTGAGTACGCCCCCGGGATTTTCTGCATGTTTTTTCAAACTTTCCTCGGGTTTGATTCATTGCTTGTCTCATTGCAGTGTTCGGTATGTTACTGGGTGATACACTGATCCTAGATGACCTGGACTGTGCAAATAAATACAGACAACAGGTGAGTACACTTGTTGATGATGCATTTCAAGGTGATGTTACATCGGACGATTCGCAGCAACGATTTTTAGCGCTAGACAGCGTTGCAACATTGTTGTGACATTGATTCAAATGGTTGCAACGTTGTTCCAACATTGCCGGCAATGCTGTGCCACGGCTGGCTATTTCATGTTGTTAATATTGCCAATTAAGCTTCCTTGTGCGCAATGAAACTAAACGTAAGGGGAAAAATTTTCTTGTAAACGACAAAATCACAGCTTCTCGTCAAATAAATGTCTCTCAAGCATTATATGAAACGTTAAATACGAGCAAAATGAACTTTGGAAACTGTTAGGCTAACAAGTTTTCAAAAATCGGCAATTGCAATCCGTTTTAGTCTTCCTCAGCTGAGTTTGTCCGCCCCTGCCTCTTTTTGTATTTGCTGTGCTATTAATGCTTTGTTTAAATGTTTTGAGCGGTTACGGTATTTTTATGTTTCACTCAATTTGGTGGCGGTTTCTACTGTTAGAATTTTGATACGTAATTCATGACTCAGCTCCTTTAACATCAATGTACTAGTGACGACGTGACATTTTTACATTTAGCCTGTGTAGCTGGCGGGATTGTTATGCCCTATTCAAAACCGGGAGGCTCGAGAGGGTTGAATCCACACCAGGCTCCAGGCTACCGTCCAGTGGATAACTCAATTGGTTTCCCTTATACCTATTCGCTAGACAGAGATTTATTTATCCAGTAGATAGCGCTGTCCAACGTTTGAACGACGATGGGGCGGTTTTTTTCGAGCCTTTAAGCTAATTGCAAAATTATAGACATAGCTGTGGCTTTGAGATAAAGCCACTAACAGACGACTGCAATGCAATAAAGAAAACTATTGATTTACGCCTGACTATAGTGAACTTAACCAAGGACGTTTTAGAGCGACACGCACCAACCAGAAGTGGCTGTTTTGCATCATTGGTCAGCAGTTTTTTCCCAAATTAAATTTCTGGCAATTCGTCTCAGTAAGAGTAAAGATACCGTATTTATTCGATTAACCTGCCCTGGGCGCTTATTAAATTTTCACCATTTTCAGCAAGTCAAGTATGTTTATTTTGCAACAAACAATAAATGGTAATAACAAAACGCGAAGATGTAACAAAGTAAGGTCTCTGTAAAATGCTCTGAAGAAAACTTCGTCTTCGGGGAAGTCTCTTATTAGTACTTATTCAATTTCGATTTCAATCTCATTGTCACTCAAGTCAATAAGTGAATTCTCTGGTGCTGCCTCCTCGATGTCCGACATCGGGGAGTGGAGTGGGGGTGGGCGCTTATTCGAGGTGGGCGCTAATTTGAGGTTGGGCGCATATTCGAATAAATACGGACTTAACAAGGCACATTTGTTAGCGTCAAGATAATGAGAAAAGGCTTCACTTCCGGTTGACGTGTTACGTCCAGAAATGTCTTTGCTTAACCTCCCTTGTGTATTGTTATGATGTAGGTTGTAAAGCACACTCATTGTCCTACGATTCTTACAAGAGGAGGAGATCGCATCAGAAGTAACGGTAAGTTATTTCGCCCATTAACCTTTAAGTGACTAGTGTTTAAGATTTCTCCTTATTCTTACACCGTTCAGTCAAACATAGATATCGATAACATGCTGAGCTGGCAGGTCGCGCAATATCACGTGATCATGGAATGACGCAATGGTGAGGTAGAATTTCTCCTTATTCTTACACTGTTCAGTCAAACGTAAATACCGTGAGAAAAAGCGCATGATCAGCAAGTGAAAAAGGTCTTCATTACGCAGGATATGCGTGGAGAACGTTGTGGAGAATGTTTGTATTAATTTTAGGGTTTAAAGGGTCGCACCAATCCCCGTGATACTGTTTCTTCTAGTGAGAATTTTAATCTCGATTGTTTTGCTCTCTTGCAAAGGTAAATTCGGCGGACTGCAGAACAAAGCTCCTCCTCTTGAGAGAATGCGCGGCGCAGTGTTCGCTGCGCCTCTTCCGCTGACATTCCATTCACTGACAACGCAGATTGGTGAGTGACAACTAAAGCTCTTCTCATTTTTCACCGCCAATGTATAACTCCAACATTGCTGCTAATGTTTTTCTTTATTCGTTATGTTGTCAGAACAACTACAAGCTTTTAAACAAGCCGTTATCAAACACACACAAGCCAAGGAAGAACTTTCGGTAAGCTTAAAGAAGCGCATCGCATTGGTTTTTTTTTTTCCTTTCGTACACAAATCCACCCTGCTGTCAGTCTTCTTTTCTTGAGAGCGGATGAAAAGGGGAAGTTCTGCCTGAATCGCGTCGAGTCTTGTTTTAACCCTTTAAGTCCCAAAAGTGACCAACGTCATTTTTCTCCTAACAATATCCGTATATTGTCATAAGATGAGGTTATGAGAATTAATAAAATGATCGCCAAAGAAAAATGCCTTGATCATTTATTGAATTCTCTCAACTTATTCTTAAAGGAAATGTATGGAGATCACTTTGGAGAATTTGTATGTGTATATTAATTGGGGCTTAGAGGGTTAAGGCCGCTTTCCTTCTTATCGTATAGGTGAGCGCGACCCCATAACTTAAAGATTTGAATCCGCTTTCACTACTTTTCTGTTCAGCTCGCCAGTTTATTTTCAAAACAAATCGTTGGTAACGGTTAGCTGATTTTGATTTTAGCTGAATTTGATCTTGGAGCATTTGAAGGGAACACTTTCTCTATCTCCTTTCTCTAACAGCTGCAGCTACAGCACGGACAAACGGAGGAGATGAAAATTAAACACCGGGAATGCAGAGAGGCTGAAACCCAGTTACGCATGATTGAGGAGCGTTTGGGCATGACTCCGACCCAGTACAATATGCCTCCCAGTCCGGCCACTATGCTGCTGACAGAAATCAACACTCCACCTACAAGAACAGCTACCTCGCGTCGCTCCAGCGCACGAGCTGCGGCTGCGGCTACCGCTTCTCCGACCTTATCGACTCCGGTCGTAAATGGTTCGAGCAACGCATCGGGAAACACAACTTCTCCGCGAACGAGGCGAGGTGCTGCGATCTCCCCTGAAGATGTAAGAACCAGTAAACGAACGCGCCGATGAACAGAATGCAACTTAAAATAGTTATGCTGGAGCTTGACACTACTTTAAACATGCCGCAGTGGATTTACAGTCAAAACCTTAAAGAACTTGTAAACATGATTTTGTGGTACCGATTGTTTCTTAAACGAGGAAAGCCCGCCATGGAAGATGCTTCACTATATTGTGCCATGCTTTAAAACTTGGTCTTCGTGGTCATTTAATTTTACGGCTTTCCTTGTAAACGATCTACTGACTGAAAAACTGTACCTCTGAAGACTATGAGGAGATTCCACTTCTTTACAGATTGTAACAATTTTTCACTTTGCTACTGCATTTATTTTTCACACCCTCCTTCTAGAAGTTTATCATTGTACGTGCTTTTGAAATTTACTTTGAGAACTTAGCGTAAAATTGATATTGTGCTCTGATTCTCTTTCATGCCGGATTATCTCCCGAAACTAAACCAAAAGTGGAGCCGACGTTTTCCAAGTTTACTCCATCTTCTTCAGTCTTGACTATACAGGTCCTATCTGAGGTTGAAGAGGATACGTGATGTTTTTTTTTTTTTTTTTTATCTCTTGGTTTTAGCTAAAAATTGCCTAAAATTGCATGACATTGCGCTTTTATATTGGAGACCTTAAGATCGGAGTGTTTTGGCATTTCCGGCTAACCGCGAACGTCAAGAAGTCACGTGACCAGTGCCCTGCCGTCAGAATTTGGGGTTTGAGGTTCACATTTGTACAGCATGAGCACGCTCTAGGGTTAAGTGATTTACTGCAAGGATTTTTGCACCCCAAAACATTCCAATCCCGCGTTTGAGAGGAAATACTACTTTCTGGAACTCTTTCGCTTATTAATCATCCAATTCGTTTTCATAGGAACGTATTTTTGAAGACAATTTCTGAGCTAAAATAGTTTGCCGTTTGCAGTAAGATGACCAAACCTCGATCTTAAGGTCTCTATTCTTAATTTCAATTTGACTGAAACTCAGTTCAATAGTCTTACTTAACCTTACTACATCCTACACGACACTAATTTATCTTCGTGTTAAAAGGAATTACGGTATTAAAAGGTACTTTTTACCTCAAAGTACAGTATGAGATTAGTGGCAAATGAATGTTGAGAAATTGTCCGTTTACTAGTTCGGTGTTACGTTGAATGACAATTGCCGTTTTCATACTGGAGACGGATTATCCGTCTAGATGTGAAAACGAGACGATAAACGTATTCACACTAGAGACGGATTATCCGTCTGAGACGAATTATCCGTTGGACAATTCGCGTCAAATAGATAATACGTCGTAATTTGAAAACGGAACGGTCTTAATTTTGCATGGACAATCCGCCTGACTTTATCTGTTTTTCCGTCAATTTGACGGATTTTGAAGATGGATTATCCGTCTCAGACGAATAATCCATCTCAAGTGTAAAAAAGGCCGTTGTTCAATTTAGACGGATAATTCGTCTGACTTTATCCGCCTTTTTAGACGGATAAAGTCATCCCATTTTTTCTGCCCGCTCTCGTTCCCAGTGTCTTCTCGCTTTTCAAAAGACACTGGGACGAGGTTGTTTTTTTTCCTGAAAAGCCTGGCACTAGAAAGGGTTCGTTGCATCATAGGATTCGTGGAACAAAAAGTTTAAAGCACTCACCCTCCGGGAGGTACTCTGGGAATTCTTGGTGGGGGTGTGCCGCCCCGTTCTCCAAATCCTAACCCTATATCAGACCTAAAAAGGTCATTTTTCAGATCTGACCTCTAAAATGCATACCCGTTTTCAGACCTGGCCTCTAAGAAATTATGTCGCCATTACTTCGATCAAAACAGCAACAAAAACGATTTCTTAAAATCCGTTTCCAATTCTTTCTTACTCATTTGGAATTGAAACCATAAATACGTTCAGTACCGTAAAATTCCGAAAATAAGCCCTTCCATATATAAGCCCCCCTCCACGTAACGCAAAAACCCCTCCGTTAAATCGCCTCTCCAAATATAAGCCACCCGGGGCTTGTACTTGGAAAATTGCCCTCAAATACAGAGTAAAACACAGGAAAACAAAGGTAAATTTACTTCCAACTATAAGGCTAACCCAATCGATTTCATGAAACGCAAATTTCCCTCCGTAGATAAGCCCTCAAAAATAAGCCCCTCAAAAGGGTCTTTGAAAAATATAAGCCTCGGGGCTTATTTTCGGAATTTTACGGTATGATTAGGCGTATGTGTGACCTTAGGATTGTGCCCTGTTCACGTTGTGAGCTTCGACCGCGCTCGTGATATTATAGTGCGCGCCTCTCACTCGACTGTTTATGAACCAAACACGAACGCTTCAGCAAGTAACAACAGGATATTGTGTTCCCTTCAATTTTTTTCTGGCGTGGAATTTAAAAAGGACAAGTAACAGGTATGTATGAGAAATGTACGTAATCACCTTTCATTTTTGGTGAAGTTAAGAAATTTTGCTCTACTGTCAGCGTTTTAGAACTGAAGCATGTGTTCCTTCTTCATCTTTATCATTCTTCTGACATTTATTTGGTTTCAGTTGTTTGAATCTACTATTTAATGGTAAAGCTTCCTTATTTATTGCAGCAGTTCTTAGTGACTAGGTCTAATCATAGCAAACAACCTCTAATTTCTTAGAGTATCACTGCTTATCATGGAAAGGTCATGGGGGCGAGGGAAAGTCTAAATGGGCGGAAAATTAGGCACGAAGAAAAGTAAAGAACGGCGAGAAGAGCCCCTGGGACAATGTCTTACCAGACCAGTTCCAAACGCTCGCCGCCGTTCTGGCTTCTGATTGGTGCCAGAAAATTTGTGTTTTTCCGAAAAAGGCGTCTGCTCTCGCGGGCTTATGGCGAACGGGCCCTTTTCGAATTATCAAAGTCCTTTTCTGAGGGGAATTAAAACGAAATAAATGGACTATTCATCTCCGAATCTCAATTTCCATTTCCAAGCAACCTCGTTCCCGTGGTTCTCTCCTATTCGTCGTCCGAAGCATGCAAGATCAGCTAGAGAGACGGGGAACGAGTAGTGGAGAACCCTGGAAACGAAGTTGGGAGCCAACTCGTAAATTCAAAACAGGTCTATTGAAAGTATCCTTTGCTATTAGACTGCGTGACTGTTCATATCGGTCTTGTGACACTCAGTTGTCGTGCATTTCTTCAACGAGTTCTTTTCTCCTTTTAATTATTTCAATCATCAGATCCTTTTGGTAGTACCGTAAAATTTCGAAAACAAGCCTCGGGGCCTATATTTTTCAAAGGCCCTTTTTGAGGGGCTTATTTTTGGAGGAGCTTATATTCGGAGGGGCTTAAATACGAAGGGGAGTTCTCGTTTCAAAACCGGCTAGGCTTATACTTGGAGGGAAATTTGCGTCTCAAAATCGGTTGGGCTAACTTATGGTAGGAAGGAAAATTTATGTCAGTAATTTGCAGAAAGGTTCTACTGAAACTCACCTTGAGGACATAGACCTTTGTAAAACGCAGCCATGGAAGCACTTTGTCTACATGGACCAAGGAAATCCAAGCCAAGAGTGAAGAGTGAACTACGCAAACAGCAATTTCTGACTACAATCATTTGGCACACAACAATAACAACAACAACAACACCTTATTTCACCCCATAATATACAAGAAATAAAAATGTATAACAATAGTACAGAGTTCTTAGGCAAATACAAACATTTATGTGTTACTGTACAGTTATTGCCTTGTTTTATTTTGAATTTGAGGGCAATTTCCAAGTACAAGCCCCCGGGGGCTTATATTTGGAGGGTCGATTTAACGGAGGGATTTTTCCGTTACGAGTTTAGGGGACCAGTTTATCGTTTATCTCGCGATATTCGTTACTTAGTTATTCATTTACGACGTTTTATATTTGGAGGGGGCTATACATGGAGGGGCTTATTTTCGAAATTTTACGGTATTTAATTTGTGCAACCAGTTGAGAATATTACAAACATTTACAGAGAAGGATACAAAAAATCTGAACAATTCGCCAAGAATAAAATAATAATACTAATAATATTTAATACTTATATTGCGCTTTTTCTATAAAAATACTCAAAAGCGGATTACAATATTATTAATAACTAAATTAAAAACCAGTAAAATTACCCGGTAAAATTACAATATTTAAAAAAATAAACAATAAATAAAATAAAATAAAATAAAATAAAATAAAATAAAATAAAATAAAATAAAATAAAATAAATAAATAAATAAATAAATAAATAAATAATCTAACTAAAAGCCTTATGTTTTAACAGAGCGTTTAAAAGAGTCGATTGATGTTTCCTGTCTTATTGGCAGAGGAAGACTGTTCCATAAAAAAAAAAACGGTGAAAGTAGTGACAATTTGGCCTAGATCGTGCACAGAAAAGGCCTCTTTTAGGATGAGAAAAAAAAAAATCCGTCTACTTGGAGGATAGGGCACAACTAGCATATCCAATCACCGTACAGATAAGAATTCGAAAGTATTATCAGCTAATTATTACCCTGCGAGCAGCGGTCAGGGGCACCCAACGACTATTTCCTCCTAAATACATTGAAAACACTTTTTAGGCTATTCAGGGTATTTTCAGATCTCTAGAAATGCATTCTAAGCAGCGTATAAGATTTATATCTGTTCGGTCATCCTAGGGGAACTTGAGTCTTTTCAAAATTACAAGGGCTTCAGAATTTCCCCGATAATTTTAGATCTAATTTAATTAACCTTTTAATTTACGAAAGTGAGCTGTTTTCCTCTCCCCATTACATTTTGGAAGAAGAAAATCTTAGGTTTCTTTTTTCTACGAAAAATAGCCTAACGTGGGGAGTGTAATTTTTAGCCGTCCTCAAGTAACGAAAAATTCTAGGCCATGCTTCCTTTTCCGAACAGATATTTTACAGAAAACAGTCGCTAGATGCTTCTGAGAGGTTTTTGCTGTTCTGTTTATAATTAGCTACCCTGCGAGTGGAGGTTCCTCCGTTGCACGGCTTGAACCTCAGCTTGCAGGGTAGCTAATTATAAACAGAACACTCAAAGATT